CCATTTGCATAAAAGGATGACCGTCGTTTGTGTAGCTCACGCCATGGCAATCTATTGGGTGACACGCGCAACACCTGCCCCAACCAACGCAGCAACATTTTACACGTTCAAGGTGCAAAGCGCATGCCGAGCATAACTACATTAGCACTCAGACTTGTCAGAAAGAATGAAAACTTACCCGAATCTTCATCCAGCAGTACAATGTCGTCTGCATACACCCCAGATCAGACAGTCCGTCATCCGGTGCATATAAAACAAAGTGAAACAGATCACCTATTTGATCTCAAAGTTTTCGTTGCCTACCAGTCTACCTGCGAATTCAGTTCCACTAGGCGTATTTAAACTATCGCAGTCAAAAGACAAATAATTGTAAAACGGTGCGCACATTCATTGAGGGAGCGCCACAGATATGCGCTTCATACTGAACACGCGTGGTATATTTCTAGGGTTGCGTACAACCTAGATTTTTTCCCGATGAAGCGAATAGGCCCATTAGATCGTAGTTTCTTTTTTTTGTCCGTTACCTTGGCTATCACCAATCTAGTGACGCTGATAAAACATCGGCAATTTCCCACGATGGCTTTTTTGTGGTCCTGATCTATTTACCACTTCCTCTGTGGGAAAAATTGTTTCTCCTGACCGCTCCGGTCCGATCTAACATGTAGTTCAGCGAAGTGAGCAAAGGTAGAACACCAACTCCGGGTTTTCACAGAACACCTGCCTGAAATAGTTGATGGGTAAGATACAATACGAGAAGATCAAACGAAGAACAAGATAAATAGAATCCTGTTTATTTTTTTATTTCGTACAACGACAGTAATCAGGTGCAGTCAATGGAACATGCAAAATGTACGAACATCCAATCAACCTCAGTTTTTTTTACCATAAGATGGACAGACATACAGGCACATGGACTTTGCAGGCTCCTCTGTGGAACTAGCAATACACGTTGGCCGCCCCCTTTTAGGCGCTTATCGGCCCGCGATCATCAACATCACCCAGATTGGTTGCACACGCTGGTGATGTGGCTACGCGGAAGCACGGTGTTTGTCCTTCTCAGTCGATGCAGCGTTTTATCTTACCGACCAAGTAGGCAATCATCAGTAAAGACTCTGTCATCAGCCGTGGTCGAAGCTACGGGCATTTAGATTCAACCGACAATCGTTACGGTCTATTTTCTGAGTCTTATTCCGCGCACGATGTAGTTGGTGCGCACCACACGTGTATGAATTTTGGGACACATTTTCGTGACCTTTGATGCTGTAAAGCTCATCACCCCGGGTAATTGTTCATATTACTCAAATCCATCCAGATGCGCACACTCTGAAAGGCAAACCCGTAAGTTATTATTTTACTCAATCGAGATATTTTAAATTCGAATCACGTGAGTTTTGATTTGAGCCATAAATGGCTGTACAGTATAACGTTCTGGATTTTCACCGTGCGATCAACAAAATCAAGCAGGACTGCATTTCTACGTATTTCACACGCGTCTGAATCCAGAATATGTGCCAAACAAATCGTAGTGCAGTATTCCTTATAAAAAAAGGGAAATTTCTATGACTTACATGTGGGTTGAATACTGCCAGTTTGCCCAGGCTAAGGCAGGAATTTTCTTGAGGAATTCACAGCAGGAGCCTTCGGCTAGCCAAAACCGGACCCGCAAGGCAGCAGGACGGTGTGGAAAAACCCAAACCAATTGGGGGCCGATGTTAAGTCGATCGGATCATACTGCCTTTGGACGTGGTCAAGCGTCATCCAACAAGATGTGGGTGAGTGTGATTCTTACACCTCTTCTTGATTGGTTTCGAACCAGAGTTTTTAGCCAACTGACCTAAGTGAACAGCCAGTGTTTCACTGATCCGGTTATTGCCTCGGATCTGGGCTTTTCCTCTCACTTTGGTGGGAACACATCTCCGTCACGAGAAAGGAGTGATTAGGGTTTCTTTAGCGGAGGCTGTTTGAGACGTTTGGTCGTACGGGAGCATTTCGGCGGGTGCAAGGGATGGGTGATCAGCCACTCGACCATATTAAGGCTTTCTCAGGCACATGCAGCACTGGCGAACATGCAACACGGTAGTCGATTTTGCATTGTTTTGTTTTCATACATATTTACACAATTTTTGAATGCACTGTGCCACTCTTGTCTATGGATCACTGTCAAATCAATCTTACCAGTTCAAACACAGTGATAAATATTCCCGTAGTGCAAAACGGGTTTGAATCCGCTATCTGCATTTAGTAGATCATCGATGATCTTGGCGCTTACTGTGCACCCGGAGCCTGTTAAATCTTGACGAGAATTCCCATATTACATTTGTTACAAACCCCCATATCGGTGATCGTTAACAGCACTAATCTGATTTGAATGCTCGCACTCGATCGAAGCCATCGTGATACAGAAACACAAATCGGGTGTGCCCTTTCTACGCTCAGTGGACAGAGCTTGTTCGGATGTTTGATTTTTCGTAGCCTCGGGTAAAGAAACCTTGCGCAACAGAACAACTACCCAACTAATCAATTTGAAATCTATCTTGATCCACATGACGGATCATAATCGTGATCATCATCACAATCATGACAATGGAAAACAAGAAATCTGCTGGTGAAGGTGTCAGCCTATCCGAAATCTACCTATCAAATCAACAGGGTCCGCTGCCAGCACCAACCCATTTCATTTGGGTTTCTAAATTTATCACCCAAGATTGTCAGAAATTTGTCCTATCATTCCCCTCCTCCCACGACAACTATTTTATTTCTTGAACAATTTTCTACTGGAGCGTGACTGAAAAATATCCTTACTAACGTGGTTTAGCTGAGCAAAACGTAGCATCCACCGGATAGTTATACTACAGTGAATGCTACACCATTATCAGCATTTCCAACACCCAACCCCAGCCTATTTCGTTGAAACTCCTTCAATACACATTGGTCTTGTGGAACCTACTGTGTACCGACAGCATTTCCCAGATTAGATCACATAACCATGCCCGTCCGCCCCTA